TTTGGAAAGTCTTCAAGCTGAACTCCTCAGCCAAACTGATCTCGTCTATCATCATCAACACCTTGTAAGTGCTGCCCTTGATGTCCAAGGCAAAGATTTATCGTCTTCACTTGCCGCGATATCCTCAACCATCATTCGCGTTGTTCGTTCCTGGAACCAATTTCTTTTCTCCAACTGAGACAACGATATTGAAGCGGCGCTCAAGATGATCAACTCGTCCCTACTTCAATACGGCAGGCCTACAAAATCAACACGATACCGACAGCAATATTGTAGATAAGCGGCACCGGCCATTTGGTCTGCTCCAATATTCTGAAGAACTTGAGGGCTCTCCTTAGTAAAACTAAGTAGTCGAAGAGCTTACCAAGAAGTATGAATGAATGAAACAAACTCCGGGAATTACTAGCTCCTTTGTCGAGTTCTTCTCTAGTTTGGCTCCCTTCTCTATTTTTTTTGTTCTTCGGTTCTCAAACATGAGAGCAGAGATGGAGCAAGTGGTGCCACTCACAAGGCGCGGGTCGCGAACTCAATCAAGGAACGGTTCTCGCCCGAGCTAGTCAAGCTAGTTTCTACCACTCCAGGGTCGACTACATATTTCACCTTTTTTGAATGCGTCTACGAAGTACTCGAATACTGTTCTTTTCTGCACTCTGTCGTCCGTACGCCGTTCTATGGCCAATGCGTCCTCAATCTCTTATACATGATAAGTGATTCACCACCTCCGCTCTCCCCCCTCCCCCTCCCATCGGCCCTCCTTACTTTGGAAAGGCCCACCCCCTATGGAGACATGATTTCTGCACCTTTTGACACATTGTCCTCTGTTTCTCTGCGTTCTGGCCTTTCCGCGGCAACTCCAATTAACACCATCGTGGTGACCGTGTATCTTCTCTAGGATGTTGCACATAGGTTCGCAAACAAGAGCCATCGCACAAAGACTTCAATAATCAACTTGCCCTTAGGCTTGCTCGTGTCTGCAGTTGTCTGAGAAAAAAAAAAAACCGAGTTGTGCCCAGTGCCTGGATTCCCAGGCCCATCACCAACAGTATGATACTCATATTCAACCGCGTTTCTAAATCTAAATTTGTCAGAACCGATGCACAATTCTCATAAAAAGTAATCAGGCAGCGAGAAGATGAATCGTGTTCGCGTATAATCTCTCGCGCCTCGTTTTGTATGCAACACACTGTACCCCCCCCCCTGCCCTACTTTCTGTGAATATCAGTTCCTAGAGAATACGACGCAAAAAATGATACCATAATTCGATCAAATTTCTTAGTGAACATACTTTTTTCAGTCGAGTCTTAGGCATGCTGCACTGTTGAAACTCTCTTGCCATTCTCGAAGCAAAGTTCCTGCCTCATTCTCGTTAAACCGACCCTCTGCCGCGCGAGTTTCTTGTTCAGCTTAACTCTCTCAGTTTCGCTTACTGAAATAATGAATGATTGATAAAAAATAAGTATCATTATCCAAACATTATAGGCACGTGAACACGTTGAGCCGGTAGAGTTCCCTTCCCCTCGTTCACCAGACGTAGTGAGGATTGTCACCCTCAGAATGATTCGCCTCGATAATGTTCGCGCTGGAACTGAAGTTCGAATAAGACAAGGCACCTCCTGTCTTTGGGGAGAAATTTTGCACAATACGACTTGAAACTTCTACCACTGGAATGATAACACCATTTTTCTCATCTTATACCCCTATCACTTATCCCTCGAATTTTCAAATCCTTTCACTACTTTCCCGGACTTTTTCTCGAAAATTTTTCAGCTAGTCCGCCTGAAAACTGCCGTGAACGGGGTGGGGAAGAGGGTGTATGGCCAAAACGAAACGGGAGAAATTGACAGGAGTTAACAACCGAAAACATTTTTCTAAAGACAAATACGACTCCCTCTCCCCTCCGGCGACCATCGTCCGAGCTGGGGATTTCCAACGCACCACGTGCCTTGATACGAATGCCTTCGATAGATCATTGTAGCCGACTACACTGATGGTGAGTTGACTAAAGATTCCTGCCACCAGTTCCAGAAATATCTCGGTTTCAAGCTTAGAACCGCCTGTACAAGTTGATATCCGTGGATTAAACACCAAAGTCCAACTCCTCTAGCAACTGGCCACGCCCAGGCCTTGATTGACGTCGATGCTCCTCCGCTACTGTCGCACTGCCTCTTCGATCGTGACCATTCACGAAGCCCCTCGTGACGCCCCGCCCACTTTGTAATTATTTCCCATGTTTCAGCTTTAAGAAGTAGACGTAAACACACATATTGCATTGCGATTTCAACTATGGCTTCAGTCGGACGCTCTACAGCCGATCTACCCCTCTCTGCTCCCACTCGGCTCCGAAACTCCCTTTAGCTTTTCACCGAATGGTTTCCCGTTTGCTGTCGTTTTTGAAAGTCGCGCTATTTTCTGCTTTACGGAGTTATTTCAAAACCACGCAATTTCATTACAGTCATGTCGACATTCTCAATCATCACACTGCTCTCGCTGCTGCCTTCACTTACGTACACTCTGAGATGCTACCAGGTCGCCTCTGCCAACCTATCAAATCCACCGGATTTGCAGGCTACGGTATGTTATCGAATTTCGTCATCAATGAAGGATCTTTCAGAACTAGAAAATCAAATGAAAGGTTCTCGATAATCATTTCGTGGCTACAGTGTTAGTTTTGTTTCCTAATATAACCACCTACGAAGGGGGCATCACAGATGGGTAACCCTCGTTAAAGGGGTTCCATATTGACTGGTTGAGATATCTAGGCTTTTCCTCATTTTCCGAGCTTGCTGTACACCCTCCCATCTTTTTTGCAGGTAATGTCGCAGATTTTTCAAAACTGATGCCGGATGCCTATTCATTCATTCCTTCTCTCTCTCTCCCCAGTACTTCTGCTAAGCGGGCAGAACTTCCCTCCCATTATGTAAATTTATCGATACCCGCTACCTCTTTGGCTGTAACGCCCTTTATCGATAGTCAACATGAACGCCCATTTCTAGAATAAAGTTAGAAATAGAGCCATTAGTGATAATGTCGTCAAAGCACGTTCTTTATGCCGACGTCATAACAAGGCCAGTTATCTACCTTAAAAGACGGGACAGGTTAGCGTAGCTTTCTATAATCGAAGCAAGGTACGATCAATAAAGCACTGCTCTGACTCCGTCGTGCAAAAGAGGGTTACACGTAAAAGGACCACCTCACCCTTCGGAATGCCCAGCGATGCGGCGATCGTAGTCTACTTTCACGAGCAATGTTCCCTCTCCAGCTTGATGACAGTCCGTGGGGAGAAGTAGCTGAAATTCTTTGGCTAAGAAACCTCTCTTAGTCACTAGTGTAGAGAGAATTTGTGATCTTAATCGGTCAGGTAGGGGACCGGTCAACGGATGGGGATCGTACCAAAGATAGAATTTTCTCGAGATAAGGTAGAGAGAAAGTGGTGACTTTTCACCGTAAAACAATGACCTAGTGCAGGATGTGCCCTGACCGTAATGGAGAGGGAGATTATCGCTCATGCTTATGATGAAGGAGCTTTGGGTGGATTAACCAGTTCGGGGTTTCACATCATGGCAATCCTAATCTGGCGTGAAAAGCCTTCGAAATGCGCTACCCATGCAATATTGCCCTGCAAGTAATTTGTGCGTTATACCATGAGCAAGAAGGTTAGTGGTTTCACATAATAAGGCCTAGTATAGATTTGTGCATGCCATTGCTAGCAAAAGAATAGGAAGGAAGGAAAAAATAGTAATTACTTTCATACTCCACCTCCGAAACGTAGTAATCATTAAAGATAGACGAATATAGTGGTTTCCGCTGCAAAGTTTTGGACGTATCAAGGGCGCTGTTTTGGCGCAACCCCAGCCCGTTCTCCACCAATTGCCGAAGCGTGGAAGCGATTGGTCGAGAACGGGCTGGCTCTGCGCTAAACCCAGCTCCCTGACATGTTCCAGCGCCTGCAGCGAAAATGACAATACGTGCAGCAGCATAACGTGTTTTTGTGTTATTACAAATGATACCAATGAATTAATAATAAAATAACGTAATGGAAGTCAATTTGTGACATAATATTCACCTGACTCTTTGTTCCAGGAATGTATTGCTGGCAGTTTGGCTTGCACGAAACTCGTCGATTATACCACAAAAACCTTCTCGAAACAGTGCCAACAATTCAATTGCACGGTAAGTTAGACGCCATATTGCTCAAAGGGATCACACTCTGACTTGACTTTTGTAAAGTACCTGTGCGGTCGGCTATCCTGCCTATGATTTCTCGGCTTAGATCTGAACTTCTCGCGCTCGCGCTGCTCGTTTGGAATCATCGTAACAAATTCATGGCTCGGAATGACCAGCGCATTCATAGCGCAATAAAAACTATAAATCACA